TATATGTATATGCATGTATGTGTGTATATATGTATGTATGTATATATGTATATTTATGTATATTTATGTATATTTATGTATGTATATGTGTATATATGTATATGTATGTATTTGTGTATATATATATATATGTATATGCATGTATGTGTGTATATATGTATGTATGTATATATATATATATACATATATATATATGGAAATGTATGTATGTGTATGAATATGTATATTCATGTATGTGTATAATATATAAATTTATATGTATGCATATGTATATATATATATAAATATTTTTTTTTTCATTCAACCTTTATTTATACAGGTAAATCCCATTGAGCCTCGAGGACTCATTTACAAGAGACCTGATTTCAACAAAGAAAGATGACAACAATGGATAACAGCGACAACAATAGACAGTTATAAAAAAGCATACAGATTTTTTTTTTTTTTTTTAAACAAATAGGATGGCTAAAAAAAGAAAAGTAAAAAAAACCCAGCTAGATTCTAAGGCAAATGTAGAAAACTAAAAACAGGAACATGTCTGCATTGGTCCCTGCCAGGAGCCCAACAGATTCTTAAAGCCACTTAGAGAGGTCAAGGTCGAGAGCTTCAAATCTTTTTGTAAGATATTCCAAGAAACAGGAGTGGAGTAGGAGAAGGCCCTTTTGCCTGGTTCAGTCCTCATTGAGGGAACACTGCAGGTAATAATGGCCTGAGAGCGCACGCTGTAGCTGCACTCACACAGAGACATGAAGGAGGAGATGTATGAAGGCAGCAGACCAAGAAGTGATTTAAAGATGAAAATGTACCAGTGAGAGAGTCTGCATGAAGTTAATGATGTCCAGTTAACCAATGAATACAGGGTGCAGTGGTTGGTACGATAATCACAGCCAGTTATGAATCTTAGTGCACCATGATAGACAGCATCCAACATCTGCAGGGTTCTTGTAGGAGCATTCATGTAAATAATGTCACCATAATCAATTGAGGGAAGGAAAGTCACAGATACAAGGCGTTTTCTAGCATTCAGGGTTAGACATGATCTGTTTCTGAAAAAGAAACCCAGTTTAACTTTCAGTTTCTTTACCAAGTTTTCCACATGGAGTTTAAAAGAGAGATGTGAGTCGACCAAGATACCCAGATATTTATAGGAATCAACAAACTCAATGGGGACACCATTTGAGGATAAAATCAGAGGAAGAACTGCTGGGACTGACTTCCTATTTGAAAAAAGCATCCCTTTGGTTTTGTCTGCATTTAGGACAAGTTTGAGGTGAAACAAATCTGTCTGGATGATGTCAAATGCAGATTTCAAAAGCTGGAAAGCCTTATTAACAGTTTTAGCTCAACAATAAACAACTGTGTCATCAGCATAGAAATGTAAGGATGCATCAGGAATGTTTTTACCTACATTACGTATGTAGATTGTAAAGAGGGTGGGTCCTAAAACTGAGCCTTGTGGTACACCATTGTTGACTGTTAAATACCTGGAGGAAGTACCATTATGTTGAACACATTGCCTCCAATCTGAGAGAGAGTTAGAGAACCAACCAATGGTGTGATCTGAGAAACCGATTTCTGAGAGTTTATGACACAAGATGTTCTGATCCACAGTGTCAAAAGCTTTAGACAGGTCTAAGAAAAGTGCAGCACAATAATCCTTAGCATACAGTGCTTCAACAACGTCATTCAGAACCTTCAGTGAAGCAGTGGTTGTGCTGTGTTGTTTCCTGAAACCAGATTGATGTGGAGGTAAGATGTTAAATGAGTCCAGGTAATTTTTGATTTGAGAGTTTATCAGTTTTTCTAGAATCTTGGCTAAAATGCAGAGTGTAGAGATTGGTCGATAGTTGTTCAGTGAGGTGGGGTCACCTCCCTTCAGCAAAGGAAGAACAAAGGCTGTTTTCCAAGTGTCTGGAATGGAGTTTTGTCTTATGGAGAGATTGAAGATGTGGGTCACAGGGACTGTGATGATATGAGCAGCCAGCCTTAAGAAATAAGGTGGAAGTTCATCTGGACCTGCAGATTTTTTAGGATCAAGATCTTTTAACAGTTTATTGACCTCACTGACTGAGAATGGAGAAAAAGAGAAGGTGTGATTAATTGAGGATTGACTTGTAGGAGGGATTTGATTTGTAGAAGTTTGGTTATTAAGTGAAGTGGCTGATTTTTCATTAGTGACTTGTCAAATAAAGAACTAGAAGCAACAAAATGTTTGTTGAAACAGTTC